CCCCCCCCCCCCCCCCCCCCCCCCCCGCGCGCGGGCTTTCTTTTCCCTTTTTCAGTCTTCCCTCCATCCCTCTCACCGTTTCAAGCCCGACGGTACCACCCACAGCGGGCCATCCCCTACCGCCTTCACCGACCCCGTGTCCAGGTGGTCGTAGTGGTTGTGGCTCAGCAGCACCACGTCGATGCGGGGCAACTCGGACACAGACAGGGCTGGAGGCCTGAACCGCTTCGGACCCACCATCTGACTAGCCGATGCTCTTTCAGAGAACATAGGGTCGGTCAAGATGTTCAGGCCGTCAATCTTAGGGTTGTGGCGGCACCCGGTAGAGGGGGCGACGGGAAATGGGGGCGAGGGGGTGGGTTGGGGGGGGGGGGAGGGGTGTCCTCATAGTCGTGCATGCCGTTGTCGTTAGACCATTGACCTCGCATCCCTACAAAGCAAGGGTTGGGGGGCTGGATTAGAATCCTGTCACTGTCACACACATGAGAGGAGCACATGCGTCAGCTCGATAAGGGCGATTGTGTTCTCTCGGAGTAGATTATGTTGAACCCGAACAGTTACCGGTTACACACGTACGATCTTCGAAAATCCCCCCCCGTCGCACTCCAATCACTCGGCCCCACACCGCGGTCGGTAACGTCGGAAACACACACACAAAAACAACACCACTACTACTACCATCGACGGCAACAACGAAGAAAAAAAAGTGGGCTACGCGTAATCTGAACAACAATGTGGTATGTTCGCAACCCAAGGGAGCTGGGGTGTGTCTGCATCATCGCGGTTTTCCGTCGAGCAGGGCGGGCCCACCCGCACACCCTGGAGGGGGCGTGAGAAGGCGCTTCCAAACAAATCAAGAACAACCGCTGAATCCGGGGACATGGCGCTGTTGAAGTGGTTCGGAGGTGGTGTGAGAAGGTGCTGCCAAAACGACCCGCAGTTGACTACTGATACACATGTGGCGAAGTTGACACCTTCCCCGGGAAACACACAGGTGACCATGTTCTTTGGCTTCAGTCAGTACCTGGACTAGTAAGGTGGCGTGCCCTATCCAGGTTACCCGCATCGGGTCTCCCTCGCCGTGCTGCGCGATCGCCTCCAGGTCCACCTGAGACAGGAGGATCGAAAAAAAAGCACGCGCGTGATGCACGCGGTACCATGCAACCACGAACAGATCGGTGTGGTACGTGGCGAGGCTAACGAAACAAAAGAGGCGGCGCGGGCATGGAACAAAAAAAAAACTTCTCTGACAGCCTTCGAATTCTTCCGGAAACGGGGGAGGAAACGCGGCGTGATTTTCGGCATTCGCCGGGACCCCCCTCCCCCTCTCTGACCCCCACCACCCGCGCTGGCGTACCAAGTGTGTTTATCCGTACCCCTTATCACTCATCTCCCGCCGCCGCATGCCAACTACTGCGGCTGCTGCTGCCACGATCATGCAACAAAGTAAATGTCGTGTTTCCTCGTTTACATAAGGCGGTGTCTCGGAAGAGGTACGAACGTCCAAAATACGGACCGCGGCTGTTAGATTCCGTCACAAGAGCAGCACTCCCTGCCGTCGTCACATTGCTCCTGACACCGGTTGTGGTAGTAGTGGTGTTTCTGTTGTTGCTATTGCTGCTGCCGTTGCTGCTGCTGCTGCTGCTGCTGCTGCACCGTTGTTGTTGCTGCTACTGCTACTGCCTTGTTACTGGCATTGGTGGTGGTGGTGGTGGTGGTGTTTCTGTTGTGTTGTTGTTGCTGCTGCTGCTGCTGCTGCTTCTGTCGCTGCTGTCGCTGCTGCTGCTGCTGCTGCACCGTTGCTCAAATGTGGCAGGCACACCGCACCTCCGCCTGCGGCAGGTCTTCTAGTGTCTCCTGCTCGGTGGGGACGTGCCCCATGTCCCCGCTCCGAAGCATCTTCGCAAGATCTCCGAGGCTCTTCTCCGTTATCCCCGGCGCCCAAGGGTTGTCGTACGTGGTGCGCTTGCCGAGCAGCCCGCGGGACTCGACCTGAGCTCGTGTGTTTTGAGTTCGACGACGAAAAAAAAGAGAAAAGAAACAACCGTCGTGGACTTCAAGTAAAAAAAATGATCGATGCTACAACGATCCCACCACACGCATCAGAACCCCCTCCTTTCTACCCATGTGCGTGTCAATTAATATACCCAGAGCGGCCCTCTCGTAAACAACAAACATCCAGAGAACACTTGTAGCCCAGCGTTGTCTTTCTGCGTGAGGCAAGAACCCCCCGTAGCTATAGCCTATTGCCCGGGAACTCAACCTAACGTGGCGCTCTTGGCCACAGGGCCTGAGCGCTTCCATACAACTACCTTTACGCCTAAAAGCCTCGGCCTCACCGCCGCCTTCGAACCCAACCTCGCGCGCTGTCTTTGCGAGGAAGGAGGGGCTGCTTTAATCTACAGCTGCTGTGTACTCACGATGAGCGGGGCCGGAAGACCAGCGTCCGCGGGAGGCGGCACGATCGCCGGCAGGGGACGCATTGCTGTCGTAGCTGCAAGAAGGAAAAAAAGAAAAAAAATACCAACATCGTGCGCACGTATTTAGGTACTGGTATTATATCTACCGTGTGTTTGAGGGAGAAAACGAGTCATATTTAGCGGTGGTGCTGATACCTGGCAGCACACAAAATCGCGTTAAACACATCTTTTCTTCACGGGGGCCTGTTCATCACACCCCAACTCCGTCCCCCCGGTGATATTTCCGGTGTAGAACGGCCAAACATTTCGTCTCTAATGTGCCGGACAACCGCACGGCATGACGACCACCAACACCATCAACGCGCGTGGGGGAGTACAGAGCCCTGCTCTGCCGCAGGCTCCTCCGCCGCTCCGAACGCGGAGCACCAAGGCCCGACCGACCACGTCTTACCATAAGAGGCGGAGATATGGCACCCTAGAATTTCAAAAGCCCCATCGCTCCACACACCAAGCATGTGACAACACCAAGAATGTCCCTTTGGGGAACATCTCGTCGAGGGCTTTCCGTAGACGTATCGGGCTCTTTCCGCGCCCCCTTGGTTGTGGAGCAATCGAGCTTCGAAAGTCGCTCTAGGGTGGGTGCCATCTCTCCGCCTCTTACGGTAGTCAAGAGTGAACACGGTACGGTATACGGTACGGTACAGACAATCTTGGGTCGTGGAGCAATCGAGCTTCGAAAGTCGGTCTAAGGGGGGGTGCCATCTCTCCGCCTCTTACGGTATTCTTCATATGCGTACCGTAGGTGACATAAGATATCACACCCCCTGAATATATTGTCACCACTTCAACGCTCCAAGAAGAAGGGGATGAAGCCTACCGAATACTGTACTTCGACACAAGACAACACACCCCTGGTTCGATTTTCAAAACTCGATTTATCAGCAGCAGAAAGAGTCGCAGCGCCGAAAACGGCGGCGTTGAAACCGGTTGGTCGAGAGCTCTCCGAAAGCGCATCGTTTCGTTTATGCATCCTCTTCGTCGTGGAGCAATCGAGCCTTGACAAACGGTCCAGGGGGTGTGTTATCTTGTGTCGTACGCGGTAACTTAAACGATATGGTATGTACGTTTTCAGAAAGCTGTGGACAAGACGGTTCCGACGCCGTTGTGTTGAGTGCCGACACTCCTATTGGTGTGGAGAAATCGAGTCTTAAAAATCAGTCCAGGGGGGGTGGTATCTTATGTCATGTCACCTACGATACATACCGATTGGTACAGATCTACACGTGCGGGTCCTCTGGCGCCTACCGCGGTTGAAAAGCGATATCACGACCATACTCTTGTAGTCTACGTGGGATGACGGGAAAAAGGAGAAGGACGGCAATGAAGACCCAACAGCGTTCAAGACTTAGAACTGCTCCGAGGAGCGCTGATCTTTTCTTCTACGTTAAGGAGCGTTTGTTTTAAGAAAATATACGGATGCCTTTGTACAACCACACAAAGACTGCCCGTTCAGAGCGTCAGGGAGCGGGTTATCCGGAACCGCCTTCGCGAGATTAACAAGTTCATGAGGAAATAGAACAGGAAGGGAGGGACGCAGACCCTCTTGCCTAACCCCAACCCTCACCCAACTTCCCCCGATTGTATGCTTTATCCAACATGTTTTTATTAATAGAAAACCCTGCAAAGGCTAATGGGTTATCCGAGGGCAACACCCTCACGGAGCGTAGCGGTTCATATCGATGGGGGCAAACTCCTCAGCACGGAGTGCAGCTGACTTTTCGTTCATGTCACGGGGCGTACAGCGGAGCTTTTTTTTGTTTTTCCGTGTTTCCAAGTTTAACGGAGCGGAGCGGACCGTTTCTATGCATTTGAGAACTGTGACGGAGCGGAGCGGGGGCGGGGAGCGGTTTAACCGCCAGAAAACCGCTCCGAACACCCCGCAACATATGCATACACACACGCGCGTCTTTAGCCGCTGTGGAATATCTACTGGGCTGCATTATCCTTTCGGTCGTGTGGCGCAAGAGCAGAACAACAATAACAGAGCATGTCCGTGAGCTACGTTTCTTTGCCCCCAAAGGTGATCGAATAGGTACATGTAGCTGCTGCTGTAAGTGGGTCAAACGTATGTGTGTACGAAGGCGGCAGTTGTAACAACGCCCCCCTTCGTGTGCTTTCAAAATTCACCACGATTTATTCGCGTCGCCTCAACAGATACAACCCCGCCAGGGATGGCACCCTGACACTACCCCGGGGTACCCCCCTCCCCATTGCCTACAAACGGTATGTCTGTTTCGTCAAAAGATGGCCTCATCATCAACCAAAACACAAACATTCGGGGGGTCCTTATCATGCGTCATACGACAATTCCATCTACATTATAGCAGTATCGCCGCCTTGCTGCTTCCGTGCTTGCTTGCCTTCTCGAGGTCCAGCTGCCATCCTGGCTCCCGATGAGTCCGCCAATGAAGATTCGTGCTTCGAGAGTCTACCGATAGGTCGAAGAACCCTGGTGACTCTGTTCATCCCTGCCGCAGCTACTGGTGGTGTGCGTTGGCTGTGGCAGGGGTGGTCTGTGGTCTGTCTGTGGTCTTGCTGGGGCTCCGCGGTCAGCGGTCAGCGGTCAGCATCAGCATCAATCCGTACCGGTTCGGTCACCGTTTGGGGAAGAACTTTGGTTCTCCCGGCCGAACCACATCATCGATCTTCTGGCATCTGACAAGATCTGATCACTCCAGGAGCCCAGGAAGCTGGAGGCTGGAGCCTGACTGCAGTTGAGAGTCAGCTGTAGAGACCGGAGACGCGCATTCTTCTCCTCTCGATTGATGGCGCGCTATAGATCGAGGACTTCCAAACATCGCCTGCCTCTGTCCTTTTACATCATGCAACGTGTGTGTGTGGGTTGACCTCCACAAGTTGATTGACCAAAGACGCCTTGGACACCGCCTGGACGCCCACAATTCAAATGTTACATCTGTAGACTGCAGATCAGGTGTACATGGTACCCTACGTGTACATACAAACAAACCTATCTGCCACTTTGGTGTTCTCCTGCCCATTCTGTGACTGACAGCAACACGTAATACTCTGCGTTTTTTTTTTTTTTTTGCTGCTGCTGCTGCTGTTGTTTATGTACAGTAGTCTAGTCCCACAAATGCAGCTTGTAACCCGTTACTACCGCCACCAAGTACACCCAACGTACGTAACACTATACCCGGAACACCGCTGTATGTAGGTGGCCCGGTCCCTCCAACACAACTACCCCAACCAGAGCAATAATCAAAAGTGCAAACCGTATCCACGACCGGAGACCTTCTCCACGCTCCACAAGCCTCTTTCTAGGCTCTCTACCGCTGTTCAAGCACGCATCTTCGAGCTCGGTGGTGATCGAGAGGCTGCTACCATCAGGTCGGTAGCTTTTGGTAATCATTCCTGAAAGCATGACTTCCCCCCCATACACACGACCATGTACCTGTGGCCATGAATTGCCACAAACACATGCCTAGCGAGACCCACGCAAGCAAGTCACGAGATCTAGCCCAAATCAGAGCCTTTCTTTCCGTCACATGTTGTCCAATCCGAGAATCAAACTCGGGTTTCCACAGCTATGTCTGACTTTCGGTGTCCAAAGAACCGTTCGCTCTGATGGGGGCTCAGAGTTCGGAGCAGAGGTAGTGAAGCATCTGTGCAGGTGGTTGCGGGCAGACATCGTGTTCGGTGCTGCGGATCACCCACGGGGCCAAGGTTCAGTCGAGAGGCTGGGGGGATGGCTGCAACAACTACTAGCAGAGCTGTGCAGGTCATGACCCGACAGGTGGGACGAGTATGTGTCCCCGTCGATTTGGACCAAGCATACGCTGCCTGACACGGCGCTTCCCTCTCACATGACTCCCTTCGAGCTCTTGTTTGGCCGCAAGCCCCGCACGACGTTGGACTCGTTAGTGCCCCTCACAGACGAGACAAGTACGGAGGGAGGGCTAGACAACTTCGAAGAGCGACGCAAGCAGAATCTCCGCGAGGTTCGCGTTGCGTTGGAGAAGCGGCACGAGTTGCGAGTAGCGGCGCGTGCGAAGGCCTACGCGACGATCGAGAGGTCGTCCGACGGAGTGGCGGTGGGGAGAAACAGCTTGGTGTTAGTCCGAGAGACGGAGAGCAGGAGGCATCGTGATCGCCGAGGAAGGAAGCTCCAGCACGACTTGTACACCGGGCCCTGGAAAGTGACAGACGTCATCCAACCAGGCCTCAGTGTAGAAGTCATCTTGCACGGTAGAAGGAAACGCAGCCTAAGAGTGTCCACCGCCGATGTGAAGCCTTTCCACCTCAGACCTCCCTCGCTCAGACATTCCGTCGCTGACGAATTTGCAACGTACGCTTGGGAACAGACTTCAAACTCCCTTCTGGAGCCGCTGAGCTATTGGAATTCGTCTCTATTGCCGACTGTCCTAGAAGCCGATCGGGCGCCCGAGTGGTTTGGGAGTATAAAGGGAAATCTTGCAGCGGAGCAGTGTCAGACTGGGTGTCAGAGGATGTCATGCTGCGGAGTTTCACCCCCCTTCAGCTTGATGGTTTCGTCGCTCTTTGGCACTTGTACCACCCCCAGCAAGCGAACGATCTTCCGCCCGTCTCAGTCAAGCCCCGTGCCCCGCTGTCGCGTACCGAAGCCTTGAAGCTGTTTCCGATAGATTTTACCTTCCGGAAGGAACTGGACGGAGGAGTGAACCTACAAGGCCAGGTGTTCGACTTCCTCCACCCATACTGGCTGGCGCGTGCGCTACAGTGACCAGAACTGGGAGGCGCTCTCACGTCGAGAGCTTGAGCGGCTTTCAGAATAACGGCTGCATTACGGCATGCACAAATCCGAGGCGTCGCTGTGCGTGCATGATGTAGGATCAGGGCTGCCGTCTGCAGGTGGCTTACCATCACCAGCACACGAATCGGCAACCCCCGGATGTATTGGCTGAGGCGTTTGTTTATTTCATACTCGTTTTCTAGGTAGCCTTTAGACACACGTACATTTCTTGGGTATCGTATGGGTTGACAGATGGTCGCTGCCGTTTGCCGGTAGTTTTACCACGCCTGCACAAGAGTCGGTAGGCTTCCAACTTTAGTTAAAATTGATGGGGTATCGCTTTATAGTTCTTGGAGTCTGTTTCGTGGAGCGTGTCTCGTGCAATAAGTAACGTGTCCGTTGGGTGTGAGATTGGTGTGTCCTGGATGTTTATTTAGTGTAGGGAATAGCGTTTTCCCGTAGCTTGCGCACGTTGCTCTGCTGCGTCTGGGTGTCGATATTCGTGTGATCCAGTTTCGTTTAGGGTGGTATTCATGAAACTGGTTGTGATATAGAGTTGGATGCTCCGAGTTGTTGCAAGAGTGCTGAGTACCGTATAGTACAGAGTATCGTACCGTACCCTTTGCGGGAACGCAGCAGAATCGTTTTGCTGTGCAACTTGGTTTGCCGTGCGACCTGGTGTTGTAGGTGCTTGCATAGTACCCTTCCTTGGGGGAGTGTGACACCGTTTTGCAGTCAGTGTGATTTGGTGTTGTAGGTGCTTTGCGCAATGGGATTTTCCCTGGATGGCCAGGTCTTTCCCGCGCTGTAGATGAGGGTCGGGCTAGCCACTACAGTGAATTCACCAAGCGAGGGACAGTTTTTTGTAAAAGTTTTTGACGTCCGATGTGTCACTTGGTGTTTTCAGTCGCTAGCCTGATTTCTTTGGCCCTTGGGATGGGGGCGAAGGGTTACGCCAGGACACCGGGTTTTTCCTTCGCACAAGTCGATGTCGGGCTTGTTCAACGCGCAGTGAGAATGTCGAGACGAGCGGTTTTTATGTAGTTTTTTTCGATGTCACCTCTCGATATTTTCGGTTGAACTTTCGGTCCAACTTATAGGCACCGCATGGTAGTTTTCAAGAGGAAGTGCGCCACTTTGCGGTGTCCGCAATTCCCGCTACCGTCTAGCATGTGAAAGCTGACAAATAGAATAGCTGTTCATCCTAAAGGGGGGGTGTTACGGTTACTACATAGTTTACGGTTACAGGGAGTTGCACCCTTCGGGATCAGCTTTGTTCCCATAGGGTGGTGTTGACAGTTCTGTACAATTGCGGAACCCCTTGTTTGTCTCGGGCTTCGTGCTGCCCCACGAAGCCCACTTCCCTGTTGGCATTCCAGTGCTCAGCAATAATAATCAATAGTGCAAACCGTATCCACGACCGGAGACCTTCTCCACGCTCCACAAGCCTCTTTCTAGGCTCTCTCTACCGCTGTTCAAGCGCGCATCATCTTCGAACTCGGTACTGATCGAGAGGCTGCTACCATCAGGTCGGTAGCTTTTGGTAATCATTCCTGAAAGCGTGACTTCCTCCCCATACACACAACAACCATGTGCCTGTGGCCACGAATTGCCGCAAACACATGCCTAGCGAGACCCACTCAAGTCACGAGATCCAGCCCAAATCAGAGCCTCTCTTTCCGTCACAGTTACATATTATATATGATACTAACGTTCGTTACATACGTATGTATTTGTATGATCCATACATACAACATATACATACATACATACCCACCCGTGAACATGCACAAGTAGGACAGGAAACGAATTTCTGTGAGTGAGCGGATGTTATCTTGCTATCTATCATACATTGTGATAGTTGAACAGCAAGAATCCCTGCGAAGTCTGAAGTACAATGGGTACCGTTTTTTTTTTTCCCAAGCTGAAGGCAAAGTACCGCAGGATGAGTAGTAGGCAGGGGGGAACCCTTGTTGTGTGACCACGGGTTGGAGTAAATCAGAACTATTTGAAGTGAAGACAAATAAATAAAAAAGAAAAAGCCACAACAAGCGGACATAGACTATCTATATATATATCATCATGGATGGGGGGTCGCAGGGTCTTCAGACTTCCCTACCCCCTGGTCTCCTCTCCCTTCGCAGTGTCTCACAAGGAAGGAGAGAGAATGTCACCGGATGAGGGTGACCATTGTTGCACAAACTACGATGACGATGGTGGTGGTAAGAAGATACAATGTGAGCGGGGTATCTTGCCGATGGTAGATGAACAGTTACAAACAAACCCGACTATGGATACGACCCTTTCAGCGCTGCTACCGGCGGAGGAGATAGATGGGAATTGGAGGGCTTCGGTCCTCCTTCCGTCTGTTCCACACGCACGCACTATTTGTACCGTATTTATTTGCATCGACGAAATGATCACTCGCTCTCGCTGCGCGGCAGCCTCCCCCACCCCGTCCTCGGATCGGAGCTCTTAGAGACGCACGACCGCCTAGCATCTATTTATAGCGAGCCTCAGAGAGTGTGGAACGAACGGCACAGCAGGAGGAAGGGCGAAAAATCGGCACTGCCTGACAAAATGAGTATTATTAGTCTACTGCTGCTGCCACAAGCACACACACACGTGAAACAACTCTTGGGACTGAGCGGACTGTACTTGTTGTTCGTCTCGCCCGAGAAGAAACCGAAACAAAGAGAGCGCAATAATAATGGGCAGTGGCGGGATCAAAGAGAGTTCATTCATTCAATCGCCCCCATAGGGACCGAGAGATGACACGGACTTCCGTCGCATGCATGATGATGGCGTGACCCCGTTCTCGTCTTCTTATTGGTCACGACAAATAACCTCGCACTCACCACACACACACGCACGCGTGACAAGGAAGTGGTGTATGATGTGTGGGAGGAGCTTTGGTGGACATGTAACCCCGGCTTACGGCACTGCGGGAGGACCTGTACGCGTGTTCGACTCATTTCGTAATAAGCCCTCAGCTACCTCGTTCACCCATGACAAGAGGGCCCCGGAGCTGATGGAGCAAGTACAGCGTTTGTTCTGTATCCATCTTGATTGTTTTTCATGGTGAGGTAGGTCCTCACTCTCCAATCGATCGGAATTGGCACACATATGTCGTGGGAACAGAATAGAATCCATGGAGGAATTACGATAATACGATGACGTGCCAGCGATGACGTAACAGCTCTTTCTTGACGGCATTCGGCCATATTTTGAGGCTGCTGCTTCGGCATTCCTTGTACCGGAGAAGCCTGCGATCCTTGGATAACGCCAATCAGGAAACAAAAAAAAAGGTTTTTGGATGTACTCCCAAGCCAACTTATGGGGGGCTTGCTGTTGAAGCAACCGGCTCGCACAACCGCAAAAAAAAAAAAAAAGCCGGAGGATAAGCCTTTCCTGAAACATTGTTTCACACGGTGCCGTAGCTCCTCAAGTACGCGAGTGAGACGGTTCATTTTGTTCCCCTCGCTACATCGTTGTAACGTCCAACACCACCAGTTTGTTCGCCGAATCAGTTTTGACCAGGGAAGTCAGGCTACTTCTCCCACACCAAGAAGAGGAGAAAAACAAGCAGCGAAGAAGGACAAAACACAACAGAATGACACACCAACACCAGGGTAGTCGGATCAAGATTGGGTTGCTGGGAGACCTGCTGACATGATACGTGAATAGCGCCCCCCTCTAGAGGACGCACGTGCCCGCATGATCCGAGACGCGGGCCATCAAGAAAGAAAATGAACCCACTTCCAAACGTGCGCGTGTACGCAAAAGCGCACGTGCATGGGCTATCCTTTTCCTAAACAAATAGTACAAATTAAAGGAACACCTCTCTGAATCCGTCAGATATTGTACCTCCGTAATCTCACACAAGGTACCCCTCCCCCCCCGAACCCTATTCATGCCGCACTAATCAGGTCTTGACCTCCTGGACAAGGCAGGCAGGCTAACCGGAAAATAACGCGGGCAATCAATGCTTGCGGGCTGCGCACTCGAGCGGGCAACATAGGACGCATGTACCATCTGTCATATTTATATCGAACGGCCGCCCAAGAACTTGCTGCGGCAGTCACCTCTTGACTTCTGTGTAGCTTACTCCCAAGGGGTATCTACTTCCGAGCGCACCGAGACAAACAAGAAGGGTTCCAACAACACCAAAAACGAGGCACGCATCTAGACCACTGGCAGTGGGGTGAAGATGTTCGTTTCCCTGCGGCGGCGCAACAAATCCTTCTCCCCCAAGAAAAAGAAGAAAGAGAGTCTTGCCCCAAAAAGGGGGAAAATTACAGCAGCAGATATTCCTGCGCAAGAACTAAACAACGAAAACTCGTGCGCGGACAGAAAATAACGAACACACGAAACACCTGTGCGACTCAACCATACGCAGAACAACCACACCCGCCTCGGCGGGGAGCAGCCTCCCCTGTTGAGGAGATAAAAGCGCTTTCATGCAGACGGCCAGGCCAGCCCATCGCCCTCTCCTCAAAAAAGGCGGCAACAAAACTCGTTCGCAAGCCGTCAAGCCCCCGCCATCTCTTGCCGCCCCCGCCCCTGCGCACCGACGCGCGCAAGCGAACGACCGTTCGTTGTGATTCCATCCGCCGCCCGACCAAAACCAACACCACCACCTCACAGGCCCCACGCGGCACCAGCCGCCAACGCGGCCAACGCGCACGACACGACGGCGGTCATCCTGGCGCCGCCGCCGATCGCAGCCGCGCCGTCACCCTCCGCGTCGCCCGTCGCGGTGGGGCCCATTGTCTCCTCGTGGTCGTGGTCCATGTCGTCGGTGTGAACGTGCACGGTTGGTGACGGAGTCTCCATCGTCGCGGTGGTCGTGCCGTCCACGTTGGTGGGCGCCGGGGTATCCATCGTCGCGGTGGTCGTGCCGTCGGTGACGGTGGTGTCCATGGAGGTGGGGATGGGAGTCTCTTGGGCGCTGAAGGCAGGCGGACGCGCGGAACCATTGGGGGTACACACAAGCAGGGCGGGGCGGCGGCAGCGGGGGTGCAAGAATCAGCCTCACCAAAAATCACACTAGGAGGTTCGCCATATAAAAGTCGCCAGAAAAGTGCAAGTAGAGCATGTTTTTTTTCGAGTTTTGTATCGATCATCAGTGCTCGCAGCATTTTTCTGCCGCAGTCCTATTGCGGTGCTTGCCATTGATTCTATATTTTTCAAGCGCGTGGTCCCACTTGGGAGGGGGAGCCCTGTGTGTTGCTGTCTTTACATAAAAGAAAACGTTACCTTTTTTCTCGACCCAGAACCTTCTACTGTCGTAGTAGTATTCCCACTTAACGCGGTCGATTCCCGTGGTGCATGGGCTAAAACAGACGAAAAGCAAGTACTTCAGATGGATCCTGCCAGAGGGGCAACCCGAAATAGGTGTTTACATGAATGAAGATGGAATAAGGAGACAAATATGTTATGCATACGGCGGTAAGTTAAGCCAACAGCAGTATATTTCCAGGAGATTTTCTCCCCGACTTACTGAAACGACTCTCAACATCTTCCCTTTTGACTTTCGACCGCTGCTGCGGCATGATATCATAACCTCGAATTGGAAAATAGTCTTTTCGGGATTACATACATGTTTTCCAAGTTCCAAGCAAGAAACAGGCAGCTACGAGGTGTAGGAAGAAATTGGTGTTCCTGGAACGCTATGGGTTCGTTGCTACTTCGTACAAAACGTACAAATCTAGCCGGTTTCCCTCCACTCACTGAAAAGACTCCACCACATCCCGTTCGACTGTGGGTATATCTCGAATGGGTTGTCTTTCTGTGTGTGTTTTTATTATTCCTTAAATCTATCCTGGAACATTGTCTGTGGACAGAGATGGATCCGTTGGGTGACACTCATACATGTGCATAGCAGGGAAAAAAACGTTATGATGTATGATACACCGCTGTGGGTGGTGTTGCGGAGATAGGATAGACGACAGATGCCGTAGGAACTGGTTACCGTGACGTGCGACTGCCAACTCGTGAGTCGGATATTGCATCACTTGCTTGCACAACAGCATGTGGCTCACGTGAAGTAAACGATTCAATGCCAAAAGCTGCAAACATACCTAATGTCCTACCAACCACCCTAAAAAATACACGCGCACATCGCGGCAAAGCGGTTATCGCCGCTGCCGACAACCTATGCCCGGGTCAGAGTGCAGCAGCCACTACACGTCCGCCCCCCTGGTGCCATACACGAGTGAGATCTCCGTCTCCATTTCAACTTTTTAGACTTTCATGATAAGAGGCAATCCAACACACCGGAGCTATTCTATTTTGGTTTTGGTTTGCCTCTGCTGGGGCGGAAGCAGTGAGACAATGTCAATCCTTGTGCCTTCGTCACCCTCGCTGGTGGAAAGATTGCTATTGTAACGTTGTATCGCTGTGAAGAATCCATCGCGAATCTCTCTGCACAACATCCAGGGCTCGGATGTATCCATATCTGTGTGGATAAAAAGGATTCCTTGCGCGCGTGTTCAGAAAAACACATTCGGCGCGAGCATGTATCGGACAACTTTTTGAGAGGGATGCGGCCGAGATTCCACTATTCCCTCGTACTGTACCGCTGTTCTTCGTGGAAGAAGACAAGTAGTAGACCATCGTCTTATTGGAGCCGGTCGAGCTCAGAAGTAAGGGGTCGTGGAGTCATCACTACTGCTGGCGTTGGGCAGCGGGAAAGCCTGCCTCTCTCTCTCTCTCTGACTAGGGTACAAATAACCAGCTACCGGCAGCGCGTAAAATTCTACGCATGGTGAAGGCGTTTGGTTGAGTTATCACATCGGTCGGTGGATTTTAAAAAATTGAATCCTGTTCTTTATTGTAACACTCTGTCATCATCAGCAGGGCCCAACGGTTCTACGAGAGGAGGGGTTTATTCGTCCACGCTAGATAGCTGCCCTTCCATGTGACGCTACTTGAGAGCTAAACGCTTGGCGAGAGCGAAGATGAGAGGTATACAGGACGAGGCATACCTTCATGAAGCTTTTCGTCACTTTCTTTTCACTTCTTTTTGGTGGCAGGCCAGCAGGCAAGTTATCTGTTGAAAAACACGTCACGCAATCTACGCGCCAGCTGGGTTTGCGAGTCTGGGTTGTGGGGAGAATGCTCCAGCGCAGAAAACAATAATAACAACGCGAGGGAACCCGGAAAGGTCGTAACGCGCTGCGTCGGAGCGTCGTGCTACTACTGCTGTAACATCCAACGGTGACAGATGACAGCCGCTCGTTCGTTACACAAGAAAAGCGCGCAGTTTTCTTCTCGGACAATTTGTTTGTTTGCCCAAAAAAGAACACCAGCAACAGCAGAGAGGTTCCGACACCAACAGTTCGGAGAGCGGATTGTGGCCTACTCGTGACAAGAAGAGCACCACGCCTACCAAGTGCCAGCTATTCTTGTTTAGATGCCGCAGGCACGGTCCTGCGACAACTCGCGTCGGACAGCGTGCGCGCTGCAAAAACGGAACACCAGCAGTTTATGGATGGACACAAAGCCACCCTCCGCCGCACGGACGAAAAAAAAACACCAAGGCGCGGAGAGAAGAGAAGCGAAACTCTCTCACCTCACGATTGCCACAAGGGCGCAGAACACTATGAGAGCGGTGGCGGGCTTGGGGCAGAAGAACAGCTTCATGGTGGTGGATGGAGGAGGGGTTGAAGGGAAGGCTGCTCAGTGTGGTGTTGGATGAGAGAGAGGGAGCGGTTGGTGCGTGGGTGTGTGGTGTGTGATGTGTTCGCAGGGAGGGGTTACGTGGACAACATCTTGCCTTGTTTTCTGCTCATCAGATCTCCGTCAGATCTCCGTCCACAAGCCTGCAATAGTTCATGAAACGGTCGCGGTCGGTCCGTTTTTCGAGTCGATCAACGCATTGGTCAGTGGGCGGTGGGTGCGTCTGGCGCCGTGGCGGGGTGTGACGGCCGGATCTTGTCGCGAGGGCTACGGCGAACGGATTGGCCCGGGGGGGGAGTACGTGGGTGCTTGATAGTATCGTCGTTGACGGATGGTCTGCATGATCAACGCAAGCGTACTCGTCGTGAAAGCCCTTGTTGTATCACTCACTTACAGAGTCGGAGAGAGCGGTTGCCGAGTCAACGGTACACCGAAGAAGCAGTGCGTGCATCCTCCCAAGGCACGGCGGTGCGGATCCAGATGGCCGCGTTGTACCGCACACCGGCCAACGCCAGCAAGCTCTCTCGTGCACCGCCATGTGACCGCCATGTGTCCGCCCCTCTCCACACTCCACGAACGCTGTTCTCCACACGTACGTGTAGACGACGACGCTACAACTGCTGTGTGCCAAAACCGGAAACGGCGGCACAGCAGCAGATTGTTGCCGCCTGACTCATGATCTCTCCCAAGTAGTATGAGAGTACGATTCAAACACTCTGTATTGCGCTGGGTGTACAAGCATAAACTTGTGCACAAGGTGTAGTAGACAACATGTCGTGTTTGTGTACGTCGTGTGAGTGTCGGCAACCTTTCTTCTATCTGCTGTTATCGATGTCCACCTGTATAGCACCTTCCTTATCCGACGGCGGCGTATCTTCTATTCTCTCTCTTTCGTGTCCTACCCACATGCACCCTTTTCTGCCTCCTCTACTCTCTCGATTCAGTAGTTTCTGTTTCGTGGGAAGGGTTGGTGGGGAGGACGTGGTAGGAGCGGGGGCCTCACGTGTACCTGCCAACTGTAGTTAGTGACGAAAGAGAGTATTAATCGTATTTTTTCGACAGTAAATCTAGAGTGACGTCACCATTCGAAAGTGCAGCAACAGCAGCAGTCCACATCTATCATTAATCTTCAGGTTAGATTTCCGCACACACCACAATTACACCACAGCACCCAGCTCCCAGCAACAACACCAGCAACGACACCAGCAACACCATCAATCAATAGCGTAACCTGTGCAACCATGAAGTTTCTCGCCCTCTGTGGAGCGCTGGGCTGCGCCCTCCTTGCTACGTCGGCTGGGTAAGTGCACAAGTCGACCAAAACATCAGCGAAAGGCCACAGGTAGTCCGTACAGAAAGTTGTAGACACATGGGTGACCTCGTACAAGCACTTTCGGCGCTCGCGTCGATCTTTCGTTCTTGTTTGCGATAGCGGAAGACGAAGCACAACGAAGGAGAGCGTTGTCGTTGTTGTCTTCACAATAACAAACCGTCCGGCTCTTCTATGTACGGTCGAACATCCATTCCGGTCCAACTGGCCGTTCGTGCTCCGTGGTCACCGGGACCGAGCAGGAAATGAAGTCGAACTCGCGGCGTACTCGGAGTACAGCAGTACTACTTGTGAGAGGATAGAGTATATTGGGTTGGCGAGGAACTACACGAAAGGCGTGAGACACATTGTTTCATACAGTTTTACGAGTTCATTTGCCGCTCGGCAAGAAATACTGCTTGTGTGTAGGTGTAGATCCCCTTCACAAGAGGTACAATCTCACCAACGTCTGGCGAGGACGATTCTATCTTTTCACATTCGCCCCAGCCGGTCGGGTTCTTGTTACCCCTGATAACCTTGCCTAGCAACCAAGAGACTCGAAGAAGGAGGGAGAACTGCTGTGGAGATCCGCTTCATTAGGAAGGGTGTCATTTCCCCAACGTTTGTCGAGGACGATTCCCTCTGTTGAGATTGGCGTCCCAGTCGGTTGGGTTCTGGTTACACCTCCTGTCTTTGCGCACTTGCTTAGAAACACTGCCTTTTCCGAGGGCGCATCCACTCTTCTTTGCTAGGAATCGTTCGCCCTACTGGTAACTACGAGTAGAAAATGAACCCCCGACAGTGTGAAGTTTCCGTGCTCGAACATGTAGCGGACGTTTGCTACAGGTGTACCAGCTGGTATGATATAAGCGATGACGTTGGCGAAAGCATGGAAGAAAAGTAAGAAACGCTTGTCACGTGCTTGATGAGTACGGTTGAAGCAGGAAACCGGATTCTGGGGGGGTTTCTTGCTTGTCACGACGCGTAGCCGCTTCTTGTACTGCTATCGCTGTCATCGGTTTGTTTTTTTTTGTGTGTGTGTGCATCGCACTTTCATCACTCTCTCAGGAAGCTTGAATTTAACCGAACCGCCGTTTCTTCGGTCAGATTGACTTCCTTTTCACACGGGCGAGGGCGGACTCGCCCCTTGCGCCGACGGATCCAGTTACAAAAATAACTGCTGGGGTTCCCAGTTCTTAGGGTTAGACTACAGCTTGTCATGTTTTGAGGCCAAGCACCACGGGAAGGGAAGGTGGAGAAAAAAATGTGTTTTCCCTTCCTCTTGTGTGGCTTCGGCTGGTGCGTCCTATACATACATACCGAAAGGTAAGGGTAATAATAAAAGGCCATTTCTTGCGGTTGTCTTTTTTTATGATCTTTTTCTTTTTTCCTTCTCAAAAAAAGACAACTGGCCGTAGAAGGTCTTCTTACAATGTCTTTTTTCCTCAAAAAAAGATCGCCAGAAAAAGACAACCCGTTTTGGACAGCCCATCCTGTCTTTTTTGGGGGCAGTTTTGGACAAGTGGAGGCTGTCCAAAACTGTTGCCTTTTTTTGTTCACAACCACATCACTCGTACCTAGAAACTTGAATCTCTCGACGGCCCACCGCAAACTCTAACGTTGGTCACACGAGTTGTGTCATGTTGCTGGCTGGTACAGAGTCGGTGGCACCGGCGGTAGCCAAAGTTTTTTCAGTGGGCTGGACCAGGTGGACAACCCGATGTGTGCGGCAAACAAGAGGCAAACAAACCGAGAGAGCCTGGACGCAGCAGCGGTGGGTCATTTTTCGTGTACTGTCAACCTTGCGAACCCAACTTTTGGGCGTCCTATAGCCTCCTGGTCTGTATCAATCATCACACAAGAAGAACCATACGCACAGCTCGTGGCGCATGCCTTTATCATCGCTGTTGCTTGAGTGGGTGGCGAGGGAGTACTGGCAAACCAAAGTTGCGACACGGGCACAAGAGCGAAAAAAGTTGCTTGAAGATGCGGCGGATCATTTTTCCCGCTTGTCCACCACTCTCGCGCTCACAATTTCTGAACGTCCTATAGCCTCCTGGTCTGTATCAGCCACCACACAAGACGGACCATACACACAGCTCGTGGCGCATACCTTTGTCATCGCTGTTGCTAGAGTGGGTGGCGAGGGAGTACCGGTAAACCAACGTTTTGACAGGGGCACAAGAGCAAAAAAAATGGTTGCTGGCGCGGTGGGCATTTTTTCAGCGTGCTGTCGACTCTCGGCACCTCCATTCCCGTGCCTCCTATCGCCCTGTGGTCTCTGTCAGCCGCCACCCAAGACGGACCATACACACAGCTCGAGAGGGATAGCTTTACAGTAGGCGCTGCTTCACTCTGTGAGGAGATATCAGCGAAAAACCATTTCGGTGGGAAGGTGCATGTAAGTGTGACAGCAGCCGTCGCAGAGTCTGTTTTTTTTTGGTCGGTGAAAAAGGATCGACCAACACCGTAAGAAGGGGGTCATCTTTTTTGTAGATCCCTTTCTGGGTTGTCCGAAAGGGGGGAAAAAGATCTGCGAAAAAAGACCGCAAGAAATGGCCTAACAGGCCCGTAGAACAGATGGAACGAACTTTACCAACATTCTGTCCGTGTGAACGGATTGCTCAAATTCCCACCGGTGCATGTTTCATGACGTGGACCCCAAGTAAGATAAATTCGTCGAAGATATGAATGAGGCTGAGTCTTACGACGTGATTATTTCTCAGATTTTTTTTTTCTCTCGGTCGGGGGGGTTGGCCTGCACGGAAAAAATGATCAAGATCCAAATGACCGTCTTAAAGTTCCTCGAGGTATATTTTTTTCTGAAGGGAAAAAAGAGGCTGATTCATGTTCTTGTGGGTCACAACATGCTTCAGTACACGGTTTTGGCTCGTGTGCGACCAACAAGACACCGAGCGCCCTGTTTATGGGTCGCCTGCAGAGGGCGTGTGTATCATCGAACGCTATCGGCTGCAGTTTGTGGATGTCGTCGGCCAAAGGCCTCTCTCTGAGGGCATGCGTTGTACCCTGAGCACACTCGACTCGGAGCAAGCGGCAGAAAAAAAAGGCAACGTCCAAAGAAGGCAACACCGATCCACACCTCGATTCATGTTTGCAGACCGTGTGCAATCAAGACTGGACAATACGCTCCGTTTCTGGGACGCGAGCAGAGGGTATGTGTATGACCACACGCCACTGGCTGCTGTTTGTGGATTTCGTTGGCCAAAGGTCTCTCTCTGGCATGCGTTTTTGACTGGTCGCGGGTGACACACGGAGCAAACACGCGGCGGAACAAGAAAAAAAAACAAAAAGTTAACACCGCAACACACTTTGGTTCACGTTTGCAGGCCGTGTGCAATCAAAACTGGACAATACGCTCTGTTTCTGGTACGCGAGCAGAGGGTATGAGTATGACCACACGCCATTGGCTGCAGTTTGTGGATGTCGACGGCTTTAGGCCTCTCTCTGGCATGCGTTTAGAACTAGTCACACATGCAGCAGGCGCAAAAACGGCTCTTTTCGGCCCAAGGGCAAGAACGTCAGCAGAGCAATGTGGCAGGGTTGACGTTTTCGGCTCGTGTGCGGCCAACACGACGCAGAACGCCCTGAATTTTAGATAGCTGCAGAGGGTTTGTGCATGACCTCATGATACCGGCCTCTGTTTGGCCAGCCGACAGTGTAGTTCCTCGTTCGGGCATGATCGGGGTGTGAACAGGGGGTACCCCCCCCCCATTTCTAACAGCGATTTTCCAACAGGATCGCTGTTGGAAAATGGACCAATTTTGTAACAGGCCGGCCGGAATCGATGTTGGAAACTGCGCTGTTGGAAATTGCCATTTTCCTACCCGTAAGACGCCCAAATTACTTTTTTGGCTCAGAAAAGGACCCCCCCCCCAAATCCAACCCGGAAATAATCACGCCGTAAGACTCAGCCTGACGCGAATAACGTAGAGCAATAAGCAGCTTCGTCGTTCGCAGTTTTTGGTGGCTGACAACGAAAACATGCACATTTAGGGTGCACACAGTGGAGACGACTGCGGTACACAGTTTTGCATCCCACTGCTTGATGGAGCTCTCCTATATAAGAAACGTCACAATGGGCGCCCAGCCGCCCTGTGTCCTACTTAACGGGGCTGACGTTTTTAAGAAACAGTTCAGCCTGTAGTCTTTTTTCTACCGCAGCGTCGTAGAACGTATCCTTGCCCCAAGAGACTGATGAGACCCTTCCCCCCCGCCGCCGCGGGAAAAGACGTCCGCGTGAGATTAACGTGGGGGGGAGGGTATACTCATAGTCCTGCATGCCGTAGTCGTTTGACCATTGACCTCGCATCCCTACAAAGCCGGGACGGAGCACGCCGGGTTTTCACCGGACCAGGCTCTCACATCGCCAAGCGCGAAGCGCCGTGAGGTACTTGGCGAGTCGCATGGAGGGTACGCTGCATCCTGCTAAGGGTGTTCGGTATCTTGAGCTTACTTCCTTGCATACGGATGACAGCTGCGAATGACTTGATTTGTTCTCTGGTACTTCCACTTCCAGAGACAGTGATAAGCACTGCGTAACTGCCTCGAGGGTACTTGACCAGTTCAACCCAACGTGGTGCGATCATCCCCTTGTGCGAAGTGAAGGTTCTCGGCCCCGCGTAACATGATCTACTCGAGCACTAGTATGGTTACCGAAAAAAAAAACCACAGGCAAAAGACAAAGCTGTAACCTGGCTGTCGAGTTCACTCACGAAGTGGTCGGCGTGTTTTACAACGACGTTGCCAAGCGACTAACTAGCACCACCCACGAACGGGGGTTAACGCAGGGGGGGGGGGTGAGATTCGGCTTCAGAGAAATTACACCCACTCTTTTGTACGGCCAGATTCACTGCGGTCTCGGAGCATGCAAGGAGAAGGATGTTTGGTCGGTGACGAGGTCGCACGAGCTTTTGCTGCGCTTTGTCGGCGAGCACCATCTTCACATGCGCCAAAGACGAATATGATGAGGAGAAGCGGAGAAACGTCCGGAGCATGTAGTCTGTGCAAGCAAACAACAAGTAGGCGAAGAGATGGTGAAACATCACGACGGTCCGGGCAAGGATTACTTGCTGCCTACTCTGTATCGCGCAACATGAAGAGAATAACGCTTCCGGTCAAGCCCCGATATCCCGGCCCACAATACTTACTGCATCGTTTTCACTGCGTCAATCCTTCGACTCAGAAAACGTACCACATACTGCTTCACGACGTGCGTTCTTCCTCTCACCCAACCCACGCGCCCCGTCCTCTTCCTTCTCGTCTCCTCCCCACTTTTCCCCGCTCTTCGTGCCTGCCTACAACAGAGCCAGCGCCGCGGGTGTCGAGGACAAGGCGGCGGCCGTCGAGATCTCCCACCGCTCGCTTCAAGCGGAAGAAACCGTCACCCCGTCGCCCACAGCCGTCCACGACGACCACGACGACGAGGACGAGCACTCCGTGTCCCCGACCCCTGCCGGAGCGGTGGTGGATGAAGACCATGACGACGAAGACCACGAAGACCATGACGACGAAGACCACGAAGACCATGACGACGAAGACCACGAAGACCATGACGATCACGACGACCACGATCATGACACCGACGACGCCGACGCCGAAGAGGAGAGCACAAGCGGCGCCCGCGGTCGAACCGCCGCCACCAAGGCCATCGTTTCCTCCGCACTGGCCGCTGCTGCTGCTGTCGCCGTATGGGCGCTGTAGAATATGTACTGGCGGTTCGTAGTTCGCCTACTTATTATCCGCGCGGCACCGCAGGGAGCACAAGCCCCCTTTTCTTTGCGTTTCAGTTGTCATCCCGAAGCCGCCGGAGCCTTCTGTAGAGCTAGCTTCTTCTTGGAGAAGGCGTGAGATTATTTTTATCTGTTCCCCAGGTGTGTTGTTAAGCTTCGGCGAGAGTCTGCATGTACGCCTTGAAGCGCAGGGAAATACCCCCCCCCCTTGTCGTTGTAGAAGCTGAGCGTACTATAATGCGAGGATCCCCCCCGTGGGGTTAATTACCGATACAGTTGGGTAGCGGGTTTTCGCTTGGGGGACTTTGCGGTAGACAGACTGGATGGTTTCGAATTTTTCGTCTTGTACACCTGTCGCAGCCTGTCGATGACGCTTGTGGTACCCTACCCCGAGCCAGTAGGGCCCCGAGCACGTTTTCTAATTCTTCCTTACTTGAGACAATATTTCAAGGGTCGGTTTAGTACAGTACATAGTATTGGTACTTTCCATATTTTAGGAAGTATTTGGCCCCACCGCCCGGTACTGAAATACTAACACTTTAGTACAGCTCTCCACTGTACTAATAATACTGTTGCGTTTAGTAGGGCTATCTATACTGTACTAAAAATAATTTTTGTACCGCTCTCCATACTGTACTAAACATGCTGCTGCTTTTAGTACGGCTTTTCATACTGTACTGATACTAACCTTAGTACCGATTCTCGATACTGTACTAAACATACTGTTGCGTTTAGTATGGCTCTTCATACTGTACTAAACATACTGTTGAGTTTAGTACAGGGTCTCTGTACTGTACTAAGGTGAGTAAAGTATTCATCTCTCCCATACTGGACTGGTACTAACCTTAGTACGGATTCTCGGTACTGCTGTACTAAAAATACTATACTCTGTATAAACCGACCCTTGGTATCAATATTTTATCTCCTCCACAGGTAGTAAGTCTTTGTCGTGGCGACCTATCCGCCGGGGATTCTCGTGCCCCCCTTCAGCCATCATGGCTCCTGCCTGTTCGCCCTAGCCGCACGGACCCACGCGCAGGGAAGTCGTCAAAGTGTGCATGACAACGAGCGACACGTGTTTTCATATATATGGAAATTGTTCGGCCCCGCCTGACGCTTTTCCGCTGATCGCTCAAGGAAAGTAAATACATGAGTTCCAAAGTTGGAACGACCAGAAGTGGGTACTACATCGATTCCGCGCTGTATCTCGTTCCCACGTGATAAGAAACAGAGGGCTCTGTGGTTGGACATTTCTAAAAACACACAGCACATGCATTCATTCACAGCCAGTCACAGCTCGACACGATTTACCTCGTGACTACGGTGTTACCTTTAGACGAGAACGTCATAGAGGGGCAGGCACAAAAGCAAACGAGTAGTAGGAGGGGATTGTACGATTTCGTACGTACGGGGGGGGCACAGAGGTTTACACCCGGTGTTATGTGTGCAGTGGACACCATCTGCCTGCAGGCCACCCGAGACGGTCAACGCGAATGGCGGTGACGCAGATGGTGCATACGCCGGGGCCTGTTTATCGTAGAAAAATAAGCGGAGTCCAGTCTACGTGGCAATTTCCCCGCTTGACCCTGTTGTTTCGTCCTTCACTCATTGGTCTGTCTGTGAATATGGTATTGAAGAGTACGGGGGGGCTACACTTGACAAAGTCTATGTGTGACTGCGTAGTTGTTACATGTGGAGACAAAGCGTACGACCAAGGAACAGCAAAAGCCCTAGGTACGGCCAACGTTCTTGGCAAGGTACGGACCGTGTGTATCGCGTACACTCTGCAAGCAGGCTACTTTCATTGCTCTCCTCCTGCTGCGCGTTTCGGGAACGAAATGATACAATTCGGTCATTGAAAGACTAACGGTTCGAGCAAATGTCACAGTCGAAGGGGACGCGCCGAAAAGTCTTTTTCAGTGAGTGTAATCTCTGGGTACTGCGCTTATTTTCTCGTACTAAGGCTACACACTCAGTGATTTTTGCTCGGCTGATTGAGACAGTTGAAACCCGGCAACTCAGCCACGTTCGATAGTCAAGTTCGTACAGCACTAACCAACGAGAGCGCGTAATGGCGCCAGAGAGGGCCTCAAACAGGGCAACAACGAGACAGTAGTCGCCCCTGTCGAAATATCTATGCAGACTGCAGCATAGAGTCTGTAGTCTACAGCAGTGGCAGTCGTAAGACCTAGACTACTTGTACAATCAATGCGGATCAATGTGTGGGCTGTGCTACATATCCATCCCTGATCCATAAGTACCGATTTGCTGACAAACGCGTTAACCGCAGAGGTGAGCATTCGACGAGAAATGTGCCAAGGGTGTGTTAACAATGTTAGTCCGAGTCACCTTAGACCACCGCTTGATCTCCCTACCGCCGTGGACGCTGTAGCGCAACATGTTCGCCGACCGAATCTAATAACCAAACCGTGTTTTTTCCACCGAGTGTGGCAAGGCACTGTCAAATTCTAGCCAATCAGTGAGTCTCCAACACTCTTCTCTCTTCTCTCTCTCTCTCTCTCTCTCTCACGCATCCGTGTGGCACAATCCCCACACCCGTCGTCGAGATGAAGATTTCGTTGCTTGGTTGCGGCGCATTGCTCGCGCCGTCGGTCGCCGATGCGGCCGGCCTGGCGTCGCGAATGATGGCAGCGTCCCTCGTGTCATGGTGAGTGCTCTCTCTTTCGCGCGCTCGTCGTGTGGCTTTGCGTAAACCGTGCCACCGCGAAACGGGTTTGTTTGTTGGATTTGTGCAACTCACAAAACACTTGGTGGGTGTTTTCGGTGCTGCTCGATACGCGCAGGCGTGTCCCTCACCGTGCGCTATTGTATCTGGTGTCTTGCTTACTCATCCGACGACTCTGCAAAGCCAGGTATAGCTCGTAGAAACATACGTTGCGTGTAGCCCGTTTTGAGTCGTGACGTTCTATTGCAAACATTTTTGAAGTGGATTTTTCTGTTCCTCCGGAGAAACGGCGGTGTTTTCATGACAACGCACGCACTATCATCGGCGCGTGTGCCGACGAAAGGTTTGCGTGCTTGCTGTACGTATGCATACTTGCACGAGAAAAGAGCCTTACTCTCTCCCCTGAGACTGAAGGAAAACACAAGGAACAGCCAACCAGCGCCCTACGACTACATAGGTGGTACATGCAGCAGTAGTGTATGCGCATCATCCTTTCAGAATCCGTGATACTCCGCACCGCACCCAACCTCCGTTTCTTGTCCATCTCTTGATCTCCAAAGTTTTGATAAAAGTTGATGGAAAACACTGCTATATTGCGCAACGCGTAGAGGCCCATACACAAGATGGCCACCAAACCTGTCTGGTTGAGCCTGTTGCCCGCAGGGGGATACGTTGCTCGAGTATCACATGAGAAACACAGCAGGGAGGTGTAGGTCGTATATAACACTCGGGATTACATGTCGAATTTGTCCGGCTCTTTCACCAGTTGGATACTGCTGTATAGATAAGGGATTGCCGTTTTTCTGTAATCACACCAACAGAAGTACAACCCTGGCGACGGAATAAACAGAACCAACGCAAACCTCACGACTTAGGCTACGCGCTTTGCAGCCACAAATGAGCGAGATTTTTTGTGTGAAGACAGAGACGGCGTATTAGACAAGGCACAGCAGTCAAGCACTACTAAATAGTGGTCCCACAAGAGTAAAGTGTCTAATAGTGAGTTTTTCACGGGTTTTCCAGATTGCACACTGCGTGGTAATCCCCTCACGGAAGGTGGCATGCATGGGCATGTCGGAAGACTTGACGGGATTGCAGGCGGGAAGTCGGCCTGAAGCTCAGGACTGTATGTGTTGCGTGTAAGAGACTGTTATTGCCCGTGCCGACACCTGTGCGTGCCCATCTGCACGGGAAAGCCAGTCAGTGTAGATCATATTGCGTACCTTGGGGCGTTGGCCTTGATGCCAAATGAACGTCGAGGCCTTGGTCGGTGTACTACAATAGCCGATGCTTTTCTCTGTACACACGCAGACACGCCAAGCTTATTTATGTACGTAGACTATTTATCCATGCATAGCACCACGGTTGTCATCTGCGTGGTCCTAAACTTCCATGTGGGCAGATTCCACATGATGATACGATGATGAGCCGTCCTCTTGTGACTCTGCGCCTGAATCTCCGTTGGGCCTCTTTTTCGCGGACACCCTGGACTGCAGTGTCCGAAGTGGCATTGTTTTCACTAAATTTGGGGTGTTCTCGCGAGCACCGAATTACTGTGCTTGCCCTTCCCTTCACTTGACCCTCCCCCCATGTAAACCCGGCATACACATCGCTCCGTCCCGGCATTGTAGGGATGCGAAACCATTGGCCTAACAACTGCGGCACTCGTCTACTAAGTATCCCCCTCCCCCGGTATCTCCCCCCTAGCTTTCCTCTAAATCTCCTCCTCGCCCCCCCCCCCCCCGCCTCGATCTATGTGCATTCGCCATTGCACGAACCGCGCATCACACAAAAAGCGCTGCCGCGGGCGTCGGAGGGACCTCTCCTGGCCAACACCGCGCGCTCGAAGAGACCGAGGACACCCCCTCTACGATGCCATCCTTCAACGCCACGGAGCCCCCCAGCTTCACCAGCAGCAGCTACGGTTCGCACGACCGGATGATATCCTTCAACTCCACGTCCTCCACCAGCAGCTTCCACCGGGGCGACGAGGACGACTCGGACTCCTATTCCTTCTCGTACTCGTTTGATGGAGGAGGAGGAGGCGGTGGCGGTGGCGGTGGCGGCGGCGGCGGCGGGGACGACAACGGCGGTGGCGACAACGGCGGCGGAGGCGATGGCGGAGGGGGCAAGGGGGGTGGTGGCACCGGCGCCGACGCTGGCGATACCGCTGCTCTTTCCAACACCGAGAGCTCGCTCGTGGAGGACGACGGGGGGAGCGTCAGCACGGTCCTGTTGGTTGTCCTGGCCTTGTTCGCCGCCGGGGCCGCGTGGCTGCTGTACCGCACTTGGGCCAAGAGGCGCATGGCCTGGCGCCGGTTGGGCGACGAGGCGCTGCTGCCGTAACTCGAGGGGATGACGACTCGAGGGGACCATGGCTATTCATGTGATGGTCGAAGCAGGATCATGGCTATTCGTTGAATACTCGATGGGAGGATCATGTTTGCTCGTTGTTCTCCAGCGATCTATTGCACAGGAGTGGTCATGGACGTCAAGACTCCGGCTGGCGAGAGAATTTAGCTAGCTCTATTTGATTCATACAGCAGTCGTATGTGGAGGGAGGGCTGAAAAGACAGAGACGCGCGTGTTGCCACCTTGCTGTTTTCTGCCCCCCAAATCGTCTGTTTTTTGAATATGTACGATTTTGGTAAAAGGCGTCCTATTTGTGTTTTTCTATATCTCCAATCGTGTATACTATTTAAATTTTGTTGGAAGGCAGCCAAGCCGTACATGTCATTGTCATTGTTGCTTGTCTACGGCCACCGCTGTGTCGGCGGGAGGAAAATTGTTCTGAAACAGCGAGAAGAGCCTTCGGCATTCTTCGGCTGGACCTGTTCAGGCAGTTGTACGGCGTGTACCGGTATGTAGTATTGTTGTTCTTGTTCGAATCGTTCCCCCCACCCCACCACCACTTTGATAGTCAATCGTGGGGCGAACTGCTCTTGCGTTACCATCTATCTGTGCCTCGTGCGTTGTTCGGAGAGAGTTTTTCTGTTGTCTCCGTGTTGGCGGGGGATGAAGGCTGCTCAGCTCTCTCTTTTCCTCTAGAAAGGTTGTGGGGTGTAGTTGCGACGGATGGCAGTGTGAGCTGCACACGCCCTGGGGCTGATGAGCGGAGGAATGGACGGCTATTTTGGTAGCCACGGGTTTTTTCGGTAGAATTTTCCTTCTGTTTCGACTTTTTTTTTTCTCGGGGACTCGACGGTTTGATGGCCGCGTTGTGGATCATCGGTGGCGTGTTTTCGTGGACACGGAGGCAGGCAGGCAGGTTGAAAATTCCGTTCGTGGCGTGCGCGGGAATCTTGTGCAAGTGTTGACACATCAATCAATTTTTGTTGAACTAATATTTTCACGCACGCACGCGTAGAGGCGTGCGTCCTCTTGCTTTATGTTGAGTTTTTCTCTCCGCAGTCGCGCGCAACGCCAGAACAGCAGACCAAGCGCCCCGCTTGTGTCGCTGTTGATGTATGGATGCCCCATCACGCATGCAAGTCAAAGGAAAAACCTTCACCAGCCTCTGTCGGAGGGATGGGGCTCCACCCATTCATTGGTTGTTTGCTGTTCGGCAAGTAGCCACAACAGCAGTAGTAGTGGCAAGCTCTCTATTGAGATTTGCATCACGGCTGGTTCCTTCTCCAAACGGAAAAAAAACGCCGAAGTGCATGCATCTGCCCGGATTCCTCACACGCCAAGCCGCTGCAGACACTATAATACTACTCACCAGCCGCCACTGCAGCCACCCGGGGCTCGCGCAAGCTCTTCAGCGACTGCTCGTGTTATGCCCCTCGAGCACGTCATTCCATTCCGAGCAACCCCAAAACGGTTTCTTGTCACGGTACGCTACGGTGCAAAAGAAGGTCTCACGGAACGAGAAGAGAGGTAAGGTGCACTACATGGCACGGCGTCTCAACACCACTGTACAACCCCCCCCTCCCCCCCCCCCCCCCTCTTT